CACACCTCATCCAGTTATTTACTGCACTTTCTCGCACCAACTAGGAGGAAAACATATCAAAGTCAGAGATTTGCTTCATGTTCTAGCACTATACTTGAATCATCCACAATAAATGTCTAGTGAGTAAGGCTGAAGAAAATGTATATTGTAGATATTTAGGCTGAGGTGAATCAGAGGTTCTCAGCACAAGTCTTATATAGGAAATACCTAGGAATTTTTAAAAAATACAGATGCCAATGGCCCACCCCAATCTATGTTGTTATTTTTTAAACTTTTTATTAAAGTATAGTTTGCATACACTATTAGATATTTCAGGTGTACAACATTTGTGATTTGACATTTATATACCTTACACTGTGATCACCACACTAACTCTAGTAATCGTCTGTCACCATTCAAAGCTATTGCAATATTATCGACTGTTTCCCTTCAACCTTTTTCACCCATTCCCCCAAACCCATCCTCTCTGGCAACCATTAATTTGTTCTCTGTTTCTAGAAGTATTTTATGTGGGGGTTTTTTGTTGTTGTTCATTATTTTTCAAATTAAGTGATTTTATTCCTTCATTTTTATTGAATTTATTCAGGTGACATTGGTTAACAAAATTATGCAGGTTTCAGGTGTCAACTGTTTTACACTAAACAGGGCAAAACATTGAGTTGCCTGGGTGATTTATCTACAAATGGCCTGTGATCCACTTCACAGCATCTTTTTGGACTTTTCATTTTTTAAATTTATTATTTTTTTAATTTATTGGGATAATATTGATTAATAAAATCATATGGGTTTTAGGCGTACAATTCTATAACACATCATCTGTATGTGGTATTGTGTGTTCACCACGTCAAGTCAAGTCTCCTTCCATTGCCATTTATCCACCCTTTCCCCTTGTCTACCTCCCCCCACCCAGCCCCCTTTCCCTCTGGTAATTACCATACTGTTGTCTGTATTCCATAGTCAAGATAGGATGTCTGCTTTCACCACTCTTATTAAACATAGTACTAGAAGTCCTAATCATAGCAATCAGGCAATAAGAAGGAATAAAAGGCAACCAAATTGGAAAGGAAGAAATAAAACTCATTATTTGCAGATGACACAATGCTATATAGAGAGAACCCTAAGGATTCCCCAAAAAACTACTAGAACTGATAAATTCAGTAATGCAGCAGGATACAAAATATATATCCAGAAATAGGTTGCATTTTTATACAGCAAAAATACACTATCAGAAAGGGAAACTAAGAAAATCCCATTTACAATTGCATAAAAAAATACCTTGGAATAAATTTAACCAAGGATGTAAAAGACCTGTACTTAGAAAATTATAAGATACTGAAGGAAGAAATTGAAGAAGATACAAATAAAAGGAAGCATATATCATGTTAATGGACAGCATTAAAATGTCCATACTACCCAAGCAATCTATAGATTCAGTGCAATTCCTATCAAGATAACAATGATGTATTTCACAGAACTAGAACAAATACTCGAAAAATTCATATGGAACCACGAAAGACCTCACATAGCCACAGCAATCTTGAAAAAGAACAAAGTTGGAGGAATCACGCTACCTCATATCAAACTGTATACTCCAAGGCCATAGTAATCAAAACAGCATGGTATTGGCATAGAAAGACATACAGATCAATGGTAAATCAATATTTAACAAAATAAGAAAAACATACAATGGGGTAAAGATAGTTTATTCAGTAAATGGTGTTGAAAATTGGACAGATAGGTGCAAAAATATAAAATTAGACCACCTTCTTACACCATATGCAATAACAAATTTAAAATGGATTAAAGACTTAAATGTAAGACTCAAAACCATAAAAATCGTAGAAAAAAACATTGGTAGTAAAATCTCAGACATTTCTTGTAGCAATATGTTTTTCCTGATATGTCTCCTCAGTCAAGGAAAGATAAACAAATGGGACTACATCAAATTAAAAAGTTTTTGCACAACAAAATAACCATTAACAAAATGAAAAGACAACCCACTGAATGGGAGAACATATTCACCCATTATACATCTAGGGGTTAATATCAAAAATTTATAAAGAACTTATACAACACCAAAGGAAAACCAAATAATCCAATTTAAAAATGAACAGATTTTTCTCTGAAGAAAACATACAGATGGACAATAGATATATGAAAAAATGCTAAAACCACAATGAGATATCACCTCATACTTGTCAGAATGGCTAGCATCAATAAATCAACAAACAAGTGCTGGAGAAAAGGGAACACTTGTACACTATTGGTAAGAATGCAGATTGGTGCAGCACTGTGGAAAACAGTATGGAGTTTCCTTTAAAAATTAAAAATGGAACTGCCTTATGACCCAGAAACTTCCAAAACACTGATTCGAAAGAATATATGCACCACTATGTTCATTGCAGCATTATTTATAATACCCAAGGTTTGGAAACAGCCCAAGTGCCCATCCTATCTAATAAAAGAGAAACATGGTACT